GGGTTGTGTTCTGGACGCACGACGGGTCTGCAGGCGCGCCGGGGGTGGGGGGGGGGGAAAAAAAGGACAGGGGGGGGTTGTTGTTGTTGTTGTTGGGGGTCGGGACAATGGATTGTTCTCGATGCATGACACGGGTCGGATGACATTGAAGGGAGGGAGGTTGTTGCTGTCGGCGGCCGGGACGTGCTCTCGCTGCATGACGGTTTGCAAAGGCGGCTCCGCCCCCACCCCAACCGCCCTCGCGGCGGGGCTGTGCCCACCTCGACCCCCCGACTACTGCTACTACAACTGGTACTACTACTAGTACTACTACTAGTCCTACTACTACTACTACTACTACTACTACTACTACTACTACTACTACTACTACTACTACTACTACTACTACTACTACTACTACTACTAACGACGACTCCTACTACGACGACGACTACTTCTACTACTAGTCGTACTACTACTACGACGACTCCTACAACATACTACAACTGTCTTTTCATTCCAATCCCGGCCGCCAGCCGGTCGCTCAGCTTAGCGTCATGTATGTGGCAGTGCATTGCACCCGGTGCTTCTAGAGCACAAAATCCACGTGGGCAAGTTCCGCTTAGAATAGCAGCAAACTTGCGACCTACTCAGCAGTCAAGAGAACTGTACAGCGATGCACACATACACCCCAGCATGTGGTACTAACAGAATTGCTTGCCTTCATACTGTACAATGTAAAAAGCTCATCCACACATGCTTGGGGCATGAAAAGATCAATGAATGCTGTCACCGTTGTGACGCAGTTTGCGACCAAGAAAAGTGGCTTCAGTTCCGGTCTTCAATTCCGCAGTAACTTTGACCAAAAGCTGCTTGTTCAATGCCTCAATGAACTCTGCTGCTCTTTGAGAATCACCAGCAATCAGCAAGTCATCCACAAAAGCCAATACATAGAGTTGCCTACTTGAGTGACAATACAGGTTAGGGTCGGATTTGCAACGGCGGAACCCCAATGCCTGCATGACCGAAGCATAATGTTCTTGCCGCAATCGAGGACTTTGTGGTTAGTCCATACATAGCCTTATTGTTCAATCGCCACAGACAATGTGGGTGACCGTCTGGTCCATTGAAAAATAGTACTCAACATGCAAACGAACAAAAACGATATCACTCATAGCAGCGTGGAGGAATGCGGTTGAACTGTCGGCCAATGTGATGGTCCAACACAAGGCAAAGAGTAACCAATGATGGTGTGCTCGCAAACACTGAATCTGAATCCAATGCCGAATCGTCCTGGTAGCAGCCCTGTGCCACCAATCGCATCCTAAGTTCCTCATCGGACTTCCAACGCTTAACCCATTTCAATCCAATCGCAGTTTCGATTTCCTCCTCAGGACACTGCTCAATAGGCTTCTCAGTATAGACACAAAAATCCTGCATACTCTCCAATTCTTTGTTCATCCCTCTTGTCTGTGCAGCAGCTGGGAATTCCTTCGTTGCGTTCCAGATCAATGGTTCAGAGAATTTGATTTCTTCATGCGTCTCTTCGATGTCCTCATTCACATGAACGGGAACTTCCGAACCGTCCTTCAAAGTCACTGAAGCAACATCAGTCAAAGAAGCAACCCAGTTCGTAACCGAAGCAATAGTGAGATTAAGCTGGGATATCGCACTCAACCGCTGTTGTCTTTTTCGATAAACAGCTCCCAATCGTTGTGGCTTTTGTGGCTGAGTTGGGCTGGATGCTTCCAATGTTTCAGACTCTTCTTCAGAACGTTTCGAACCTTGTTGTGGTGCAATCTTCTGACGCTTGGCCTGAGGGGCCCTGGATGTTGACCGAAGACATCAGGAATGTTCTTCAATCTCACGTCAGGCTGTAAGGGTCATCATCACCTTCACCAATCGGTTCATCATCCATCACAGCCATCACACCATCGTCAGGCAATGAAGGTTCATACTCGCTGTTCTGTGCATCTTCAGGCAATTCGGGAATCTCCGAGGGTAACAACCTATCTGGCAGTTCAGGCAGTCCAGGAGGCTGTTCAATCTGTTGCGCTGACTCGTTGGTCTGCGATGACGCAGGATCCAATCCAGGTGTGCACGAGTCTTACCAAAGGCCAATACCTTAGAAGTCGGAGACAATATAAATTCCGTAGTGAAGTCTCCTTCAGTTTGTGGTTTCCATGGCAAAGCCTTGAGTGCCACAATAGGGGCTTGCTTCCACTGCTCACTCAGTGGCAGCAATAATCTCGTTAGCTTCTGTATCACGTCCTAACCACAATGCCTCTTTCCAAGGAATGCTTTCATTCGCTGATCCCAATGACTTTGCCCTGAATGTACTCTCCGAAACAACACAATCCTCCTTAATAATTCTGTTCCTCCTTCTGAGATAGGAAGTGAATCCATCCGAATGAATCAAGTACCTGTTCAAAAACCACTGGGCATGCTTCACAGTCCACGGGTACTATGCTGAATACGATGTGACCTCAATTCCAGTACGCTCGTGGGTTTGATAAAGCAATGTCTTCATCTGTCCGTACAATGTCCTTTGGGCCGCTTCGACGGACCCATGACTTTTGAGGATGGTCTCTAGGTGCTGCCCTAACAGTGAGACCTCCAATCTCCTTGCGCACTCGAAGACACCCTGCTTTCACTGATGATATGCCAAATGTACGTCCACATTCATAAACAAACTTTAGCAATTCAGCAGCTGAATACGCAAGCTCGCCTTTCTGTGGAACTACAACTGCCATCGACAATCCAGTCAGTATGTCAGTTGCAACAGCCAATGTTTGCATCTCCAATTTAGGATCAGATCGAGTGAAGCAATAAACCCAATACCTTGGATGTTGGAACCAGTAGTCAGCTGTCCTTTCCAATCCAGTCACTTGATCCGAAGTGTGGAAAAGCCGCACCAATTCTTCAAGCATTTTGCTATCAAGCTTCGTCAATGACCTCACCCGATCCTGAATAGATCTCTCAGATTCTCAATATCATCAGACCGAACAATGCTAGAATGATCGGCTTTTGCCAATTGCTTGTGCTTTAGAGAAACGCTAACCAATGTGAAAGAAAGCCCTTCACAAACGTGAAAATGAACACACATAGAGTGACCACCGCAATCAAGCTCAATGATTCTCTTACCAACAATGTTCAGGGTCTTGCTTGAGATGGATCTCAAGGCGGGACAATCCGAACCAACTGGATGCAATGATGATCCTGTCCAAACCAAGGTGGTGCGCAATTCGCGGAAGCGCCACTATCAAAAAGAATCCAACTTCGGTCAATAACTCCAGACTGCATGTGAAACTCAGCGAGAGAGGAGCCTTGGGATCCGACACTGGTTGTGGTTGATCAGAATGCTCAATGTGATCCGTAGGGTGGTACAGAGGTACGCTAGAAGACAATGTGTCAATTTGGATAAAAAATTCAACGAGCAATTTGCTGATCAATCCAGGCTTGGGAGGTCGCGTGCGACCACCGGAAGAAGATGACGATGCAGGCAATGCTGCAAACACTGCCTCAGTTTCATCATCGTTAGTTTCCTCAAATCAGAGGTTTCCAATGGAGGACCTCGGTGTTCCTCAGTCACTTCACGATCTGGGTACCAAACATCATGCCACCACTCTGGTGCACTCCAATGATCATAGCTCCAGCCATCATCAACGATTGCTGCAGTCCAATCAAACCAATCTGCTTCTCCGGAGAAACCATACCATGACGAATCATCATAGTCATTCCAATCTTCCCATGCGCCATCAATGACACGGTTCGCGTCATCCAATGTCTGCGTCTGCTCTTCTGTCTGTTCCTCAATCACTCCATTCTGTCTTGCATTCGGGCAATCTCTACTCCAGTGCTCACTGGATCCATAATTGAAACATCCTGATCCTTTTCCTTTGCCTTTTCCTTTGCCCTTTCCTTTTAGTTTGGCTTTTCCTTTGCCTTTTCCAGTTCCAATTTCCTTTTCCTTTCATCCTTCCTTTTCCGAAACCTTTTGTGCAGAATCCTTTGGGCCAATAGCCATCAACAGTTCAACAATGTGACCGAAAGATCATCATCCAATTGCTTGCCTGTTGCCTTTTCATGTTTGTTCTTCAATGTCATGAACTCGTGCAAGTCTGTCTCAAAATGGGAGTCGCGCAATCTGTAGTCAATGATCCTGCTCAGGTAATTCACACTTCGTGCTCTGTCTGGCAATGAGAATCTCTCATACAATGCGGTGTCGAAACCGTTGCCGTCATTGTTCAATCGAACAGTCAGCCTTGCAGCCTCATGGGTCAGCTGCGCCAGTAAATAATGAAACTGTTTCCCTTCAACGGACTCTATCATTTTCGCAGTGTGCGGTTTGAACAAGGACATGTAGTTCTTGAATTGCCAGGACAGTTCTTCCCAATGTTCAAGCGATAAGGAAAACGGTGGCGGAGGTGCGAGCTTCAATTCTCTCCCTAAAGCTCTCGAGTCGCCAACCGATGCCTGTCGACAAACGAATGTGTTCAATGAAATACCGAAGCTCTACAGCGGAATGGAGTCCCGGGCCTTCGGCCAGAGCTCCGCTACCATGAAAAGTTTCAGTACCAATGCCGTACAATTTTTTGTACACCACTGCACAGTACAACAGCAATGCTCAGGAGGCAATCAGATCCCTTGCAATCCGGATCCTCTCGGTCTCAACGTTTTCACTGCAGACTCTTGAGCCAATGTCAATCACGGCAGCGACCCTCTGGGTGACCCGATATGCCAGAAATGACACAATGCTTTCTAAAACTCAGAGAACAACAACCCCCCCCAACCCCGCCCCCCCAGAGAACAACAACCCCCCCACCCCGCTATCGGTTACATCTGGATCTAGCGGACTAAACGAGAAATGTGAACAACCTGACCCAACCCAAACCAGCTTGAGGAACTGTTTCCTGCATGACGCATGACTGAGCTCATTGCCCTCAACCAGACTGCAGCTTGTTGGAATGCATTTCTGGTCCAAAGCTCTCAAAGCTCGCCAGAAAGAACCCAGGGCAAGCCTTTGGCAGCATCGGACTCGTCCACGGAAGCCTGGTGAGAAATTCCGCAGCTTTCGATCTTCAGATCAGGCCTGCCGCAACTTTCGACTCCAAAGAGCTCCTGCTTCTGCAGCTTCATGGCCTGACCCAAGTTGCAGTTTGCTATGGCGTCTGTTGCAACGACCATGAGCTGTTCTGAATACCTCAAGCCCACCACTCCTCTACCCGCTTTCAACCCTTGCGCCTTAGTTGATTTGCCAAGTTTCTTGCATGAGCGTCTTGCAAGCCTCCTTTTTCTTTGCCGCTGGCGGCTTTCCATCTGCAGATGTGATTTTATCCCACCTTCGGCGGGGGGTGATAGTTTCCGTGTTATGTCATGTTGCATCTCGATTCCCATGTCTGCACCCCCCGAGCTACAAGTAGTCTTACCGCCTTAGCCAAAGCATCCACTGTTGACAAAACGGACTGTACAAAGAGAAACGAAGAGAAACGAACAACATCGCTCCTTGCCTGAAAACTTCACGCTGAAAAGGGCGACGTAGACAAAAGGGAACAACGGCTCACTTTGCACTGAATGTTAGGACCCCGCAAAGTGTACCACATTGTCTGGGGAACTATCTGTCGTATCTGTCCATGGGCACAGCCGGGCAACACCTGCGCCGAAACTTGACCCAAAGCAACCATACGACATGGACACCCCAGAACGCAGGTACAACCGACGCTCAAATTTCGACCTGTCTTCCTCTTGTCGGGGAGCCAGCCTGGCAAAAACTTTGGGTTTGCTGAATCGCTCGGCTCAAAGCTTAAGAGGGGTTGAGCGTGTCGCCAAGCTGACAGAAATTCTGAATCGGAAGCTTCCCGTCGGTGCTGGATTGCTCTGCTTTCGCTAACTTCGCTGTGGATCCCTGAAGGATGCAGTCCAAAGGCAAAGCACAGTTGCCAATTCCAATCAAGTCCAACATGTGAGACCAATCCCAGAATGTACAAGCAGATGGAGCAATGTTAGAAGAAAAACCCTTCACTCCTCCGTCGCCGATCGCCAACTGGCTTCTGTGCCTTCGTCTCATGACAATGTTACACTTCTGAGGAATTGGTACTTTTGGCTCATTCCGTGGGGGGAAGCCAGGGTCGGGATGCATGAATTCTGGGGGCGATTTCTGACCCCGCAAAAACCTTTCTCGTGGTCATCCAGCATCTAGAACCCAAGCCTCGAGGAACTGCAAGCATCTGAGCCGATGCTTCTGACGCTTTACAACTTGCAGATCACGTACATCCCTGAGTGCTTTGCCAACTGGTTTCACACCGGGGGCGACGTCTGCGGCTTGTCTTCGAAGTCGTTCAGTTTTCTTTTACTGTACAAATGCATCTGGATTTTGTGAGGACCGACCCATTCGGATCGGTCGAAAGGCACACAGGCAGCGGTGGAACATCGACAGTGCCGCAGGAGAACAGAAGTTCGATACTTTATCCCTGAGCGGCACGAGGCATCACCAACCGACCTGACCAAATCTTATACCACTCGAAGAGCACGAATTGCTTTCACTGCCACTTCGAGAACATGCGTTCTACACTACCAAGGCCAGTCCATCGGTCTTTTCGCTGCCTTTGAATGTTATGCTGGCCTAGTGAGACCACCAGCAGACCGGATAATCTGCCGCTTATCAATCAGCTTCGATGATGCTTAGGGTTGAGGCCCTGGTGGGCGATGGGCATATCAATACAGTGCGACAACGTATGTAGGGTTGACCACGTGACAAGCTCCGATTCCGATTGCTTCCGTAGCATGCCAGGTGAAACAATTGCGCAATGTATATAGCGGTGGATTTACACAGACAAGAAGCCAATGAGGGCGGGGTTGCTGCTCGGAACAGTGGCCGGAGGCAGCAAAAGGTAAATGTATGTGAACGAGTATCTGGCTGTGAATTTCTGTGAACTTCTTTCTGATGAACCCAGATGCCTGCTGGCCGTATGTCAAGCAAAGCTGAATTCGAAAGCGATGGAGCTCAAGCAGGGTTACTGAAAATTGAAAGTGACGGAAGTGCATTCAGAGCAAGGGCCAGTGTCCAATCAAGCGTGACAGTATTCAGCGGATGCGCGGTTCCTGGAAGATGTCTCGGTGATGTGATGTCGGTAGACTGCAACATATGCACGGGCCTCACGAAACTGAAGTCCAGAGAGAGGGACTTTTGCACCGTAGCAAGAACTGGAATCTAGAACATGCCTGTGGACGATTCTCAATGTGAATCCGAAACCCTCCGTAGCCAAGTAAACATAATGTTCCCAGTCCCCAGGCCTCGGCCCGCTTGCACTCCGGCTCCCACGAAAGATGAGGCATGCCCAAGAGAGCCTCGTCACCGGTCGGGGCTGCAGGATCCAGGCCGCAGTCTTCCGGAGCATGTACTAAAGCCTACATGCATGCCGCCAAGAAACTGCAGTGACCACGCTCAATTCTGCATTCGTCTTACTTGCGATGGAAGCTGCTGACGCACACACAGACAGACAGACACAGACACACAGAGAGACACAGAGAGACACAGAGAGACACAGAGAGACACAGAGAGACACAGAGAGACACAAAGAGACACAGACAGACACAGACAGACACAGAGAGACACAGACAGACACACAGACAGACGTACACACACACACACACAGACACAGACACACACAGAGACACACACACACACACAGACACACACACACACAGACACACACACACACACACAGACACACACACAGACACAAACACAGACACACACACACACACAGACACACACACACACACACACACACACAGACACACACACACACACAGACACACACACAGACACACACACACACACACAGACAGACACAGACACAGACACAGACACACACACACACAGACACAGACACAGACACAGACACAGACACACACGGAATGTCAAGTGAGGTTTCTTTTTGCGATGAACCACTTGATGCCCAGGTCTCGAGTGACCACACATCAAAAACTTCTGACATGTCAGCACATGGTCAAGAATGTCGAAGAAGCACAGCAAGAAGAACCCTGCCAAAACCTGCCAACCTGCTTAAACCCCAACACGGCCTGACTATCTGCAAAGAGCTGGCTGTTTCCAAGGTGTACAACGGCTGCAGGAGAACGACCGGTGGGGTTCTTGGCTTAGCCCCGCGCCACATCCAGATACATCGACAATAAGCGAGGTGAAGAATAACCAATGCACAGCGAGGATGCTAGATGCCAGATACGTTCGTTGAGCAGGTACACACCGGTGGCCAACCGGTGCTTCCCCCACCATACCATAGCTTCGTTGCGTCAGGTAGGCATGGTGGGCCTGACGCCCCTGCATATATACTTTGTCCAACTGGCACTACAGAGTGTGAAAAGCAATGGTGACAGCACGTACAAAAGCTGCAGAACGTGAGGTGAATGCCCTTGGATACAGGGTTGTCACACACACACCCCGCCGAAGCGGGGTGAAAGTCAATATGGGCGCATCAAATAAAATCGTTGAGCATGTAAAGCAGGAAGAGCCATCGGATGAACTTGAAGAACCTGGCAATGGTATAGGGACCGTCGCTGCAGAACGGTTTGGAGCGGCAGTGGAAGCTCATGTCGTTCATATCGATGTCGGTGAACATGTTGAGCATCATAGACCGATGGTGCCAGAAGGCTAATGCATGGTTGCCACCGGGAGTCGAGTATGATTTGTCGCATGGCATAGTGTAGTCGACGATTCGTGAGGAGCAGAGGGCGAATCACACTGGGTGGTGGTGCGGTCATGAACAAGCTGTACTGGTACTCGCAGATGGAGGAATCTTAGTAGTCCAAGCGTTGGAAGGACGGGTTAAGCTGGCATAGTCCATGGAGAGTGTCCAAGTAGAAACGGTTCTGCGATGTGGTAAATCGTTGTTGTGATGTGACGAAACGTTGATTGATGACGTTGCTCGGTATTCGGAGGGCAGGTAGTGTAGTCATTTGAAGAACTTGCCAAAACCTGATCTCCACGAGGTAGTCCAACCACCATCCCACTTCGACGTCGTGCAGGTGTGGGGCCATGAAGTGTGAGGGCCCAGGAGCGGAATCGGGGACAGAAGGAGGCTGAAAGCTAAAACGGCTGCGGTAGGCTTCAAAGAGAGGAAGTAGGTCAGCACGGAGTAGGAAAGGATCGTGCATGGCAGGTAGATGCAGTTTCGATCTCGAGGCGCCAGGTCTCACGGTCGGACAACTGGATGAACACCGTGTCGTTGCTGTTCCTGTCTCCAATACGGATTTTGTGCGATCAAGGTCGTAGGAGCTGCAATGCGGTTCCGAGACGCAGTCGGTGTCCACTTGGAAACGGTCAGGCAATGTGCGGCGCACCAGCAGGTAGTAATCCAGGGTCCGGACGGTGTAGGTCGCCATTGTGCAAGACTGGCGTTGCCGATGCGGACTCGTAGGCAAAGGCGTGCTGCGGAGCGTAAGACTATGTGGGCTCGCCAACAAAGTTGATTGCAGTGCACGATGATGGAAGGTTGATAGTGGAAGATGGTGAAGACCGTGTTGTCCTGGTGGAACCCGAAGAAGTTGTGTGCACTCATCTTGTGGTCCTGTAATGCTGCCAGGAACTGTTGCCAAACGCCATGTTGGTGCCATGCGCAGTCAGCTCGATGTGCGGCGAGTAGTGCCAAGGCCGAGCGAGTAGTCCGTTGGTCGTCAATGTGAGGTCGTTGACAATGACGGGGATCAAGTTGTATGACGGTCTGCATCTCGAACCAAGAAAGAATAGTGGGGAGGATGTCGACGAAGGAAGCCATGGTTGGAATGGAATAGTCCCGTAAGTAAAAGGTCTGCGGAAAAGGCTGCGGGGGATCATCACAAGGGAGAGATATATACAAGGCGCAGCAAAAGTTTTGGTCGCAGCGGAATCCTGAACGAGATCTCAAATTGAAAGGTGTTCCCGTACTGTGCGTCGACGTCGGGTTGCGGTTTCCCGGAAAATGAGTGCCAAGGGAATCAGTTGATCTTCCGGTAGGTCATATCGGCGTCGTATTCGAGAACTGTCCGAGATGGCAGTGGGACCACCTCTCTCATGAGCGATGATGTCCAGCATGATGCGAGCTCGATGCCGGATGCAGTTCTGAACGTCCTGGTACTACGGGGATGCCGGTGAGCAGCGACGCCACTGTCGAAGCCAGCTCTGTCTGCGACGTTCAGCGTCATCTCCGTGGAAAGACACATCAGTGCGTATGGTACGCGATCCGGTCCGGCGGACTTGGTGCAGTGTGAAGCCTTGTCCTCGTGGTGGTAAACGTATACGAGGTGCAGTAGTCGAGACGTTCGAAGGGGCAGGTTGCATAGATGCCGTACATGGTGCTACAGTACTCGAGGGGGAAGATGAAGAGGAGGTAGAAGAAGACGAAGACGATGTGGACGTGGAAGAGGACGAGGTTTGGATCGATCGTGAAGAAGAGGACGATGATGAAGGTCGGTGGCGGTGACGGCGACGACGTTTCGGAGATTGCTGTTGCTGTTGTCGTGGGGTTCGGGCTCCGTTGATGTCCGAGACTTCTGAAGGTGGGCCCACGCTCGCCTCCCACGAGATGTCCTGGTCCGAGTCGGTGTAGGGGAGTGGGTGCCCATTGAGGTCGTCCAGCAGGAAGGAATCGGAGGAAGAGCCCGACATGATCGCCAAACGAGAACAAGACTGTAATGCTGCTCGACCTGAAAACCTGCGGAACCTAGAGTGAAAACAACCAACTCCAGAAGCAAGAACAGAGGGAAAGAAATGCATCTATTTCTCAAGAGGCGTCGCTAACCTGTCGCCACCGAAGTCCAAAACGACGAAGTACTGCTCGGGAGGCGTTCTCCAAGGAACGCTCCGAAAAACCGCGTTCGCGGTAGAGTTGCACAAGTTGTCGTATCTGAGGCACCAGTGTATCCTTGGGCCAGGACAATCGGCATATGAGATAGATCCTGGTGGTCAGACCCTGGGTGTTCCTGCGTGTCGAGGACACTGAGCACGGGGAGCGAAGGGATGCTGTTGCGAGGTAGAACCAGTCGAATGCGGCGTTGTTCCGTGTCCACAACTGTGCCCAATAGCTCCATCCCGGGTACATGCTCCAGCTCCAACGGAAGGCCGTAGAAGTGTGGGTGTAGGTAAACGTCCTGAAACCAGCTGTTAGATGTCGTCGAGGACGATGACAGTGGGTCAAGGTGTCGACGAGAGCCAGTTCGTGTAAAGCTAGTCGGCTGTTTTAACTCGCCTTCCCAAATGCGTAGGAGGCAGCGATTGTCCACATAGCGAGATGAACAGAAATACCGTGAGGTCAACAACTGGTAGCGTATGAGTTGGTGGAAACTGGCTTCCCACAGTGCTGCTGTTGCCCCGCACATAGACGGAGCCATGGAGGCGCCACGATGCTGTACCAAGATTTCTGTGCCAACAGTGAAGAACGAGTCGCGTAGCAGAAACATGACCAAGAGAGGTAGGTCGCGGAGGCATAGTGGCTTGTAATGGGAGCCCGCTTTGCGATAGCGGCCACGAAAAAGGCGGCCCAGTGAGTTGCGGTCCCGTAGCGTGATCTGTATGTCCGAGTCCAAGGAGATTTGCTGGTGGCGAGCAAACATACCCGTCAGGGACGAAATCGAGTGGTAAATTCGATCGTGCGGTACTGACGTGAAGAAACCGGAGAGATCCTGTTGCAGCAACTGAAGCTCAATGGTGACCGGATTGTTGCGGAAGGCGTGTATGAACGCATGAATGATGGAGTGAACCGTAGGCGACACAAACTGGGCCGGGATGACGGTCTGTAGCATCTGTAGAACTGCAGTGGATAAGAATTTCGCGAGTTGGGCACACCACGTTTTGGAATAGCTGACAATTGGGCGGCCCTTCAAAAACTTCTTGGAAGGCTTAGGCAACACATAGGCGTAGGGTAGAGGTTCTCGAGGAGCAAGTGCCCAATGATAACGCGGAGGAACGTGGCGTTTGATGGCTCGTTGTTTTTGCTCCGCCAATTGCATCGGAGTAGTGTCGCGTCGCCAAAAGACTGCCGGATCCAGGAAGGTTGCAGACAAAATCTCAGAATACTGGCGAGGGCAGAAGCCGTAGGCCAGGTGAGGACCATGGTCAATGGGAGAAACCACAATGTGCTCAGACTGCTCTCGTAGATTCTTGAGTTCTCGTAGTTGTTTGCCGTCTGGGTTTGTGCGTAGAGCTTGTCCATGTAGTCGCCATTGATGTGAGATGAAAACCTGCCAGCGAAGTAGGGATTGGTCAGGTTGTCGCCAGAGCTTGAACCAGCGGGTTATAGGGGCGACAGTGTGCCTCCTGAATTGAGATTTGATCAACCATCTGCCATCGCCCA